GGAGAGAATGGAAAGAACTGTGGCTCTTTTGGGGGTGGAGATGCAAACTCATTAAGGAGCTATCTGCTACATGCCTTCTTTACCTTTCTTCTCCCAGCTCACCACACACACACACACACACACACACACCTGGGAACTGAGTGAGAGAAGTGCCGAGTCCATCAGAAGCTTAGGGGTCCTGGTTCCAGATAACAATGTTTTCCTTGGACAGAGAGACCAAGGGGTTGTATGAGCAGGTAACTAGCTGGGGACAGAGAACCGAGTCCAACACAAGCACAGCAGCTGAAGGAGCAAAGGGAACTTGATGGAGGGAAGATGGCTGGGTTTAGGTCTCAGTTCTGCCTTTGGATTGTCACCTTGTGTGATTCATTTTCCCACCAGGCCCTCAGCTTCCTCCTCTCTGTAAAGCAGTAGGATGGGGCTAGGTGAGCTTTAGGTCGTCTACAAGCACTAACATTCTGATTCTACGGCTGCAACGTGGGCTGAGCCAAGCCCTGCTTCCCACCTTCCTCTCTCCCACATTCAGCCTGGGTGGTCCCAGGCCAGGCGCTGGGCTCCATCCAGCCTGCAGAGCACCCACACTGCTGGGGTAGAGAGAAGGGGACTGAAAAGGAGATGAGATTACTATATGCAGGCTTAAGCAAATCACATAACCTCTTTAGGCCTTAATTTATTCTTCTGTTGAAAGATGGCAGGGGAAGGGAATTTGGAGAGATGGTGAGTGAAGGGATCTCCACAGTCCCCTTCAGTATTACATTTCACGTGGAAAATTAATTTTCTTTATGTAACACTTTCATCAGCTTCCTCCCATACTCAGCAACCTTCAGCAACTCCCAATTCTCATAAACCCCAAGAAGAAAAGCCACTGCTTAGTAGTGGCTTGGGATTTTCACCCCAAGTAGAAAATCCAGCTGCAGCATTCTTCTACCTGGTCCTCTCTGTACTCCTTCCACACAGTCTCTCACAGCCCGGCTCATTGGTCTCGCCAGGTTTCCTCGCAGAGCCATGCATCCTCAGTCCCAGTTTTCTCCTGAGCCCAGCGCTGCTTCCTTGTTCATGAACCTGATAGATGGAAGGCACCCCAGAATGCTTGTGGCTGGACTGGGGAACCAGGCTCTCCCCCACTATCCACATCCCATCCTGGTTTTCAAGGAACAGGTTAGGCCTCCCCCCATCTGGGAGGCTTGCCCTGGTCCCTCTAAATTGCATAATCATGCTCTTCTTTAATCCTCACATTTTATGTTGTAACACACCATTTAGGACCTACAGTCATGACCTCTTAATCACTGTTAAACGTGTGTGGAAAATTTAATCTACTCATTACAAGTAGACATTCTGAAGACTAATAGCAAGTTTTCTATTTCTTCATAATTACCACCCCACACTGAATCCTTGATAGGCACTTAGGAAATGTTAAATTGATGGGTTTAGAGGTGCTCTGAGAGCATTTTCTCCACCGGGGATGAATTTTCATCCCTATTCTACAATCTCCACTTGGCAAAATGCTCATCTTTCAAGAAGAAACTTAAATGGCAGCTTAGTGGGGCTTTTTCTCTACACCACTGGGCTGAGCTTGTCTTTTCTTATATATGTCTATTGGCACTTGTCACGTTGCTATTCATATTTGTTTATACATCTGTCTCCCCACCTAAACAATGAGCTCTTTCCTTCAGGAAAAGAACCACATCTCACTTCTGTTGTAATTCCATGCCCAGTACTACTCTAATATTATAAGAAATGTCAACGTTGAATAGATGTATAGAAGGAATACACATACTTTTGGGAAGAGACTGAATTTTTGCTATGCTCTCTCTGAAAGCTCTAGAACCAATTTTTGACAATTGTAGATGAAGGACTAATGTGAGGCTTGACACTCAGTTTATAAGTTCGTGTTCTAAGCTGTATACAGAGTCAAGGGATAGGTTTCTAGTATCTATGCCAATTCTACCCCTCAATTACCTTTAATAGGTCTGACTTGGCAATGCATGCTACTATATTCTGTGGTTTTGAAACCCGTATTTGAGAATCATTAAGTATTTAAAAACCATTATTAAAAATTAGCACAGTTAAAATATTAGAAAGTACAAAGAAAGTACTTGTTAACCATATTTTCTCCTGGGGTGGCCCATAGATTGCTATGAGACTTAAATTGCTTCTTTTAACACCTCACGTGTACCTCTCATCATTACTATCATTACCTTGAAGTTAGTCTATTAATGTATTACTTATAATCTCTATTGGATACATATCTTTGAAAGCAGGGATAGTTTTAAATGGCTCTGTTCTCTGTAGCATGTAGCACAATGATTTCCATGGGGCAGAGGCTAAGTACACAGTTACTGTATGAATTTAAGGACCATGCTCCAAGTTTCTAATGAATATAAAAGCTGAGCAACATCAAAGGAATTACTCTTATCAAAGTATCAATACTGTTTATCGTTTTCCTGAGCAACTAGTTTGTTTTACATAATGATTTAATAAGTTGCATTATTGCTTCCATTTCTTCTCTTAAAGTTGTCCACTAGGTATCTTAGAACCAACTTGGTGAAGACTTACAGCAAGTTCATGGGACTTCAAGGTACAATTTCATATACAAAAGTCTGTTTTTGTTTCCTATCTGTATTTTCACTTTATCTAATTTTTCCCACTAATTTCAGTTCAGATAATCTGCATCTTTGTAAGCTGTCTTCAGTTATTTTCAGGCCAAACGGGTATTCANTATTATCTTGTTAGATAATCTGCATCTTTGTAAGCTGTCTTCAGTTATTTTCAGGCCAAACGGGTATTCATGAACATAAATAAACAGATGCATACATGTGGTAAATATAAACTGATAAATAATAAATATCAAATCTAAGATTTTCTTGATTAAAGTTAATTCTTCATTAAATATCATTCCCAGATTTGTTATTGATAAATATCCTTAAATTGGTATTACTAAATCACTATTTTAATTACATTATGGATTATTCATAATTTTGATTGTGCTTAAGAAATACCTTTTATTTCTTGTGTAATCACCTGATCTAAACTACTACTACACACTTCCAACTATGCTAGTGGCTTCATGAGGGAAAACGTGGGGTAAGAAGGTGGAAAATAATTGTCATCAAGATTATCCTGTACTTCAAGAGCTGGGATGCAGTAATAGCTAACACAGCACTTACCATGAGCTAGCATTGTATTAAAAACTTAACATCCTCATTTAATCCTCACAACAACCCTAAGCGATGATACTTTTATTATCATCCCATATGAGTGATGAGGAAACTGAGGCACTCTGAGCTTCAGTACCTTGCCTGAGATCCCACTTTGAGTACATCACAGAAATAGGATTGAAATTCAGACTCACTAACCCCAGGTGGTGTGTGTGTGCTTAAGGACTTGGCTGACTGCCTCAACTATTCTGGGTCTTCCAAGTCCTTAAGAGATCAGTAAGCTAGCATTGAAATATTAGGTTTCAGTATTGTCAGGAACTATTACAAATAATAAGGGGGAAATGGCAAACTGGATGATCAGTTATCAGCTCCTTTCCCCAAGATGACATTTTCCAGCCCTTGCCCCTCTCAGTCTAACAAAGCATTCATGATGGTACATTATTGTAAACTTTGTGGATTTTTAACAACTCTAAATGCTACTTAAATGAAAAGGATTGAGAGAAAGGAGAGTTTTCTTTTACTCTTAGTAGCAAAATTATTCATTGCCTGCTACTCTTATAAGTCATGTGTTGCTTCAGTCAATACTGCCTGGGGCAGGCCTGGGCTTTATTTGCCATCTCTGTGTTTGAGCCTTGAAATGAGGGTATCGATTTATGATCAGTAGAACTCCTGGCTGAGTCCTGGGTGTTATGATACCACTAATATAGTGTATTGAGGAAATCACCTGCTACCCCTCAAGGCAGGATCTACATCTTGTTCATTTTTGTGTCACTCCAGCTCCTGGCACATAATAAACACTCAATAAATATACGCTGGCTGAGTGACTGGGTTCATAAATTATTCTCTGGGTATAGATTTTAAGTTTCTAATGGATAGTTTCTGTTTACCACCTTACAGAGTGCTAACATTAAATAACATGAATATGATTGAGTGAATGAACTATTTACAGTTTTAAGGTAAATAATAAGAATGGTGTATGTGTTGCTAAACTCATATGTGAGAAGACACATGCAAATAAAGGCTCTTCCAATAATAAAAATTTGCTTATTTCTTAATTCATTAACAAGTCACCTGGCTTTTTTTTTTTAATTCCTCAGCAGCATAAAGGAGTACTAAGCTTTCATATACCACTTACTTTAAACCTTCATTGCCTTAAATATAAAGTGACTCCTAGGTACACGGATCTTAGAAAAATAAAAGACACTATATTTTTCTCTAGAGCATTAGTTGAAAGAGGTCTGTCATTTTGTTTAACCAAAAGGGGCTCATTATTACGCCACTCAGAGGAGATTTCACAATAATAAGTGTGACTGAGGCAGGAAAAGACAGTTCCAACCCCCCTGGGACCAAGATCCAGATAGATCTGGCATTTAGCTTTAGAAGAAACTCCTGCCCATTAAGCTATTTATACCCATCTGGTAATTTACATGGGGCATGAAGAATCTCCTAAAAAATGTGAAAGCATATTTGCAAATGGGGAACAAACTCAAGCAGAAATGCCAAGAGGGCTAAGGGTGGTAGGGAGACACAGGGAGCCCTACTGCCAGCAGGATTTTGCAGAATCTTTGTATTTACCAGCTACAGAAAGTCATGGCAGTTTTGGGTGTGTTTTTTTCCAGGTCAGCAAATAACACAATCCACCTGCAAGGTCAGTGAAAACAAAAATCCCATAAACTTCAGTATTAAGTGTGTTTTTAGCATTTCCTTTTCCTCCTTCTTCATTTTCAGAGTACCTGTGGAAGCCAGTTCACCACAACAACACGCACAGGCCAGGCAGGAAGCCACTCAGGCTACAGGGCCATCAGGACTCTGGGGCATCACTCACCATCCAGTCTGGTCTGCCCCCGGGGCTCTGTTCAGGCCTGGAAGATGCCATGGAGGGGAAATGCCTTCCAACAGATTGCTCTGTCCTAGAGAGAAAAGCAGATACGATGAAGCTTGCCAGGGGCGGCTAGATTGGCAGACAGCTTGGCTCCTAAATACTGCAGTGGGAGGTTTACACCAGGGTCAAGCTGAGTGCTTCTTACTTTCCGAACAAATGAAAAGGTTGTCCCCGTCCTGGTACCAGGTGGAGGCTTCCTGCCTCTGCTCCTGTAGTGCAGGTAATTCACCCGCCATGAAATAAAGGTCAGAGGTGTTGGTTGCATAGGTCTGATTAAAGAGGTGGGGTGAGCACAATGAGCTTTGAGGAGTGAACCGGAGCCAGCCCTCGCCACAGCTATTAAACAAATCCTGTTCCTCCGACATTTACGGAGTGCCTGCCACATGCAAGGCACCGTGCCATCAATTAAAATTGTAAAGGAATTCTTACAACCTCTATAACCTTTGATCAATAACCCCTGGGCAGGTAGAGTTACTCTTTTTATCAAATGATGAGCCCAGGCCCCAAAAGTTGCTGTCACAGTGACGAGGTAGAGAAACCCCTGAGCCTGGCTGCCAGCTGCCCACTGGATGTGCTAGGTGAGTCTTCCCATCACTTGGGCTTCAGTTCTTCAGCCATGGAGAGGAGGGTTGACCGGTTAGTCTCTGGTAAAGACTCCTGATAGTTTGTTTTTTATCTTGTGTAGCTAATATTTGTTGAAACCCTGTTAACATGAAGTAGGTACCCATTTTACACATAGGCCTGTTTCTAACAGTCTATGATTTGTTAAAGCCCACACTCTCCAAACAATACCACACAAATTTTATGTGTTATTATATATTAAATTCTATATTTGAGATTTTTATATTAAATTATTCATGTAGAGGAAATAAAAGAATGAACAAACCTTTTTTCCCCCCTGCCATTAGCATCTCTTTAGCCAAAACTATATCTCATGTCACTTCTTGCTTTTAGTATTGCAGGGAATGTGGAGTCTGAGCCAGAGCACCAGGACTTGCAGAGTCATTTTTATTGTTGTTATTTTTGGTTTTAATATAAAAAATACTTGCAGAGAGAAAGTATTTTCAGTTCATCCTAGGGGTGCCTTGGAAGGTTATGCAAGCTTTCCATGAGTAGGAACCTAACATTCACCCTTTTAAAAATCCATAGTAAACAGGTTTCATGATCTATATATTGTCCTCAGCTGCTGCTATACATTTCTGTGGCAGTTTACATTTGTAAAGGATTTTATAATTATTTAGCTGACTCTGATGATAACCTTCTAAATTAAAACTCAGCCTCGGTAATGGATGTTTTGACTCCACTTGCCAAGTCCACTAGCAGGAAATGAGTGAAGACCTCTGGTTGGGGAAAGACCTTTCTGTGTGTTTCTTGCAAGTAAACTGTCATCACATTTAATTGAGATTTGAGAAATGGGTAGCAAAACAGCAGTGAGTGATGGTATTTGCAAATTAGTTGAAGCCAAGTGAATTTTTTGCCTGGAGTGTTCAGACTGAAAAAAATAAATATGAAGAAAATCCATATTAGAGGAGAGAATCTTCCTTGTTGCCCTGCTGATTTTCCATGAATTAAAATGCACATATTTGATTCAGCTTAGAAGTCCCTGTCTTTTTTGGATCCTCTAAGGGAACCTGTCAAATTTGAAATGAGATGTAGATGTAAGATAAGATGTAGTAAAAACAATCTTTGAACTTACTATACTGATCAAAGTAAGGGCCAACCTGTCTCTTCCCCTACTCAGGCCCTAATATAGATTTCTTTTTTTCCAGGGAATCGTTTCCAATGCTTTCAAAGCAGGGGGAGGGAGGGGAAGCTTTTTAATTTTCTCCACTTTCTACTGTGATACAGGCAAAACCATCAATACCCATTTCTGCCAGTAATTGACACTCATGGTTATCAATGAGCCTACCCAGAGCTCTGTTCTCTGTGAATTCTTGTGCATTTATAAAATTTAAGTATGTGAGGTCAATGCAAAAGTAATAAGCTTTGAAATAATGTTAGATAATGAAGGCCTTATTTTAGACATAATCACCTCTAACATATATGTCTAGCAATCTGAGTTATAGAACAGTGCTATCTATCTCAAGTGTAACATATATTTAATTTAGATTTTTAGAGAAGTTGCCTTATATTTAATACTAATCTCTTTTTGAGGAAACATTTTATATTTTCCAGATAACATGAGATAGTCTCTTTTGCCTTAATAATGACTTAAAATCAGACAAACTCCATTTCTATATGATGATATGATCAAAAACCTGTTTGTCTTTTTACATTTGCATAGATGTAGAGGATATGTATACATCAAACACATAAAGGTTAAAATTTTCACTGATCACTCTAAAATTTTCTCTGATCGTACTCTAGTAAATTTTAGTAAATATTGTTTCAGCAAAGAGTGGGAATTTTTTTCTTATGCCTAATTTGTTCTTGACTCCAATGATAAAGAAAAAAGAAGATAATCCTTGTCATAAATGACAACTGATCTAACTTTTTTCTTTCTTTCTTTCCAAGGTCCATGGCTGAATTCTAGAAAGAACTAGACGGCAAGGATAGTTTTATGATCAAAATGTCCACTCTGATTCTGTTCATCCCTTTTCAGCATTTACATGGGGTGTGCATCTTTATAAAATCAAAGTATGTTTTCATTCAAAATTAGATTAATTCACTATGCTGGTAAAAGGCCTCAAAATTTTCAGTGCAATTTTTGGCCATGGAGCTTCAAGGAACACTCCTAAATCTGTGTCCCATACCAGGTACAGACTAGTCATTTCCCCTAGCCTCAATAGAAACAGAGAAAGAAAAAAATGGATTTCAGGGGGGGAAATGAAACACCTCATTTTTACATGTCAAAGTAATTTTTAGCCCCAGAAAATGCTTTGAAAATGCATTAGGCTTTCAATTACCATAATTTTCACCCACTCCCATGTAAGAAAAGGGAAGCAAAAGAGAAAGGAATCCTAACAGCCTCAGCGCGGCGCATTCTCACTTTATTACCTCATTGCTTCCGCTCCCTGCGCGACTTCCCAGCACTTCGACTTTACTCTTTCCCTTCGTCTCTCTAATATGTTTCACATTGATTTTTTTTTTTCTATTCTCTGCTGACTGCACAGTCTAAAACTGCTTTGACCTTAAAGTCAAGGTCAAGTTGCATTCCCGGAGTAAACAAGAAAGAAACATGGAGAAGAGGAGAACTTAAAATCATCTGACCAAGAAAAATTTGGAGCAAAAATATGTCTCCAAAAAAAGAAAAAAGAAAAAGAAAGCAATGCCTCTCTTCTGGGATTTCTTTCTCTTCTATATTTGGCATTTCAAGGTGAGGAGCCGTAATATAAGCTGCCAGTGAAAGGAGTGAGATTTCCCCCCAAGTATTATTCGTGAAGGAACTAGTCTGGCATTAAATATTCCTATCACTTTGTAGAATAATAGATAAGATAGAATGAAATTTCCAACCATACTATTATGCTCAAGTGCTATATTGGAAAAACAAGAGCTACACATTATGGCTCCAAGAAAAATTTAAATAGATTAGTGCTGGGAAAATATGCTTTAAAAAGGCCTTAAGTTTGAACAATCTTCTAGAATTGTTGCAGGTTTTTAACAACGTCTGTCTGAGGGCATAGCTACAATAACTTGACAGTTAGCCACTTAGAAAGAAAGTATTTCTTGAAATGTTTCATTTGTAACAAAGGCAGAAAAACTACACTCATAAAAACACATTTCTTCTTTTCCTGTCCTCACCTGAAGCAAAGATTCCACGCGACCAGAAGAGGCATTTTAAAACTTCAGCATGATGCCTCCAGTGCGGACATGGTTAGCCAGTGCCAACTTAGCTGGGTATCGGGGAGGCCCTGGGCTCAAATGCCATGTCTCTTTCGAGAGGCCTTTTAACTTAAAGTTAGGTCTATACCTAAGCCTTTTCAGAATCTGTGTCTTAATTATGATGTGATCTGATGCGATGTCATCCAGAAAGCAGTTTCAGTAATTGGTCTGGATGCCTAGTTTGGCTCAGACATACTTGTCCCATCACACAGTGTGTCACAGGTCTCTATCCCCTGAAAGCACGTTTCCACTAAGATTAGAAATCTACGCATGATCTCTGATGAACAGTAAGGGGTTCCCTCACTTCCTTTATTTAGTAGCATGTAATTTTGTCTAAATACTCACCTTTCCTCCTGTAAACATGAGCCTTAACTCCAGGTCCACCTCAATGGAATGTGGCTAATTCTATTTTTTTAGCCAGAAATTGGGTCAAGAATAAAACGTAATCCAACTCTGGACGATGAAATGTGAGGAAATGCTGTGAGGGGGATTCTGAGTAAAGAGAGAAGAGACTTCCTCCCTCACCTGGGTGTTACTGCCCTGCAGTCAGGACAGCAAACTCAAAGGAGAGCAGAGTGGGGAAAATATTTAAAGAAGAAAGAAAGAAAGAAACTTGATGTCATTGAGGTAGAGCATCACCCAGCCCCGAGGCCCACCCTACTTCGGACTTCCTTGGCTATGAGAGACATTGAAAGTATTGTTCTTTAAGACATTTGGCTTCTGGGTTTCTATTATTTGCAGCCAGTAACATGTGAATCAATTTCTCTTAGCTTCATTCAATTGCTTCTACCTTCTGAGCTGATGCCTTTCAGAAGAGAAATTCCCAAACTAATGCTCACCCTCTTACTTAATTTGAAACTTTCCTTCACAAACATAAGGAATAAGACACATTTATAGAAAGTAACACAGGATGATTTAACAACCTGGAGACATTCATTCTGAATCGTACCTGGGAGGACTTGCTTGGCATTTCCTGGCCATGCTTCCAGCCAGTGCCAGGCTGCTGAGGGAAGGTGCGAGGAACGGAGCATTCGAATGACCGTCATCCATGCAACGTGGGCTCACACAGGTTATGACCAGCTGATGGCCATGTCGGGAGACAAACAAAATTCCAGTTTCTCTGCACAACCTTTCTCAAACCTGCTGTCAGGTTTTCTTCCTTACCAGCCAGTGACAGACATCCCTGGGCAGATTCCACAACTGTGT